AACAGTAAATTAGGGGCTCATCCAGGATTTGAATCCACAACCTCATGCACCCAGAAGTATATCCTTTTCACAAAACAATACAGTAAATACAGTGTGCAGTATAGTACAGTGACCAAATACAGTGTAAACCAAATCAAGCTTGTCATTAAATTTGTTTATTCCAGGAGTGTCCATCCCTGCTCCCGGAGGGCCACTGTCCTGCAGTTTAGCTCCAACTCGCTTGCCTTAAAATGTCTAGTAATCCCCACGATCCTAATTAGCTGGTTCACTTGTGACTAATTAGCATCATGTTTTCATGTAGTCCAGACTCCAGAAACCAACTAAGCACTTTTAAGGGGCCGTTCACACAGAAATGAAAGGCAGTGAATTGGGAAAAACAACAACAACAACAACAACATATGGTCTTAACTTAAGTTTAACTGCTTTTAACTTGTTTGTTGACGCAAGTGTAATGGTCAAATCCAACTGTCTAGTGCAGGGATGCCCAATCCTGTTTCTAAAAAGCGACTTACTCGCAGAGTTCATTTTTTAACCCTGCTCCAACACACCTGTCTGTAAAGGCATAGTGTTTGATTAGGGTAGGAGCTGAACTTTGCAGGAAGGTAGAGATTCAGGAATAGGATTTGGCACCCATGGTCCAGGCCAGGGGTCTTCAAACCTGTCCTGGAGGCCCCCCAGCACTGCACATTTTGTTTGTCTCCCTTATTGGATGCATCCATTTCAGGTCTTGGAGTCTCTACTAATGAGCTGATGAGTTCAATCAGGTGTGTTATATGAGGGAGACATACAAAATGTGCAGTGCTGGGAGGCCTTTAGGACTGGTTTGAAGACCCCTGGTCTAGGGCGTGTTTACATAGAGAAACAATGGAAAAGCAGTGTAGTGGAATGCCAAACCACATTCTGTGCAATCAGCCCCCTAGATGTTTTGGTGTAACCAAGATCTGCTTGCATTGTTTTTCTCTATTTCTGCCACAAACAAAACAGCAGTGCTGCATCTAGTGGGCTTAATTGGATAGGTCAGGGCTGGGCAACTCTGGTCCTCGAGATCCATTCTCCTGCAGAGGTTAGCTCCAACCCTAATCAATCACACCTGAACAAACTTGTCCAGGTGTGTTTGACTAGGGTAGGAGTTAAGTTCTTCAGGACAGTGGACTTCCAGGACTGATGGTGAATCGCCCTACACTAGCACATTCAGAGAAATAATTTGAGTCGTAAAAGGGCGAATTCCAAAAAATGCTTTATGCCCTTGAAGGTCACCGTAGGATGAAATTTGTTCCAAATGGCCACATTATGTGACACAATTGCCCTGCGCCCTCCAGAGTTCCCTCCATGGGGATTGTCACTTCAAATTGGAATGCATCCATAAATTGGGGGCTCGTCCGGGATTTGAACACATAGGTTAACCTCTCACAGATAAAGTTTGAACCGCCTCCTAGCGTTTTCCAATGCTGGAGTCACACCAACAGTACACATTTTGGATGTCTCCCTTATCTTACCCACCAATTTTAGGTCTCTGAGTCTCTTCTAATGAACTGATAATTTAAATCAAGTGTGTTTGATTAGTAAGAGTCTGAAAATTTGTTCCTCCAGGAACAGGGCTAGGAAACACTGCCATACCCTGCTCCTACTTTCTGAGAATTAATTTGGGTTATGACAGACTACATATGTAACTGACCGCAGAGAAAATATTTGCAGCATTCCCTTATAAAGCACTAGTTAACTAATAGTTGACTATTGGTGAAAAACATGGTGTTGTTGCTGTATTAATTTGTCCTTAGGTGTCATTTGTCTGGTTTTATTCATGTAGTGAAGTAAGGAGTAACAGTCAACACAAATCATCACACAAATTCTATTTTGAAAATAGTAATAGCCATGTGCATGCTTATACTTTGAGAATGTTGTCATTTGGCACAGAAGGCTTAGCTTTAACTCCCTGTTTAAATTTGTTTATGGCTTTGGACAATGTGATCAGCAGGTCACATATATCTATAACAACTACATGCAAACAATGGAGAGTGAGAAAGAAAGAGGAAAAAAAGCTTTAAAAACCTCATGCTCATTAAAAACACTGATAAAGATCTGCACAATGAATGGAGTTACATGAAAGCTAATGAATGGGTTTTAAATTAATAGTCAGGGGAGCATCAGATTGTGTTGACGTATGCATGTCAGATGCATTGGTGTGCTTAATTAGGGGTCTGATGTGAATGCAGCTGTCTTTGAGGGCCAGCTGGGATTGAATCTTTTGTTCCTGTGCCGTGGAAAATGAAGGGATGCTGAAAAGAAAGAGGAAGTGATGGAGTTGAAAGACGGGAGCTTTCTTTTTGCATGCCGACTGTGGATTAGCATTCTTCCGCTGCTTAAGCCACATCTCTCCTGCTTGCACTTATTCATTCTCTCATTTTACTCTTTCCTGTCTGACCGACCACTTGTCCACAGTGTTCCGGGTTCAACACAAGCTAAGCTTTATGTATGGCATGTTGTAGTTCCAGTTTGTAAAAACAAGCAAAACAGCATTGGCAGTAATGCATGTACAAAATGAGCCTATGGACAAAGCATTTAGGAGGGTTTAAAAACCTAAATGTGAAGCTTGTAATTTTGTTCATTCTTTTAGCAGTGGAAGACGAACCTCTGTTGTGTGTTATAAACGTCATGGCTGTGGTTTTTTGCTATGTAAAGTCTAGTTAGTTAAAGGGTTAGTTCACCCAAAAATGAAAATTCTGTCATTAATTACTCATCCTCGTGTTGTTCGAAACCCGTAAGACGTTTGTTTTAAGATATTTTTGATGAAAAATGAGAACTCTCTGACCCTCCCATAGACAGCAAGGTAACTACCACGTTCAAGGTCCAGAAAAGTACCAAGATGATCGACAAAGTAGCCCGTGCGACATCAGTGATTCAACTGTAAAGTTACGAAGCTACGAGAATACTTTTTTTGCACAAAGAAAACAAAAATAACGACTTTATTCCACATTTTCGTCTCTACTGCGTAACTTGTGGACACGCGTTTACGGCAGTATCATGACGCGAGCGTGTGGCGGCGCTGACCCAGATCCGGCGTAATGACGTCAAAAAAGTATTCTCGTAGCTTCGTAACTTTACAGTTGAACCACTGATGTCACACAGGCTACTTTGTCGATCATCTTGGTACTTTTCTGGACCTTGAACGTAGTAGTTACCTTGCTGTCTATGGGAGAGTCAGGGAGCCCTCAGATTTCATCAAACATATCTTAAATTGTGTTCCGAAGATGAACGGTCTTGCGGGTTTGGAACAACACGAGGGTGAGTAATTAATGACAGAATTTTCAGTCTTCAGTGTCACATGATTCTTCAGAAATCACTCTAATATGCTGATTTGCTGCTCAAGTAACATTTGCGATTATCATTGTTGAAAACAGTTATGCTGCTTCATACTTTTGTGGAAACTGTGATACATTTTTTTCCAGGATTTTTTGAAGAACAGAAAGTTCAAGATCAGCATTTATCTGAAATAAATGTTATCAAGGACATTTATTTATCCTTTCTGAATGTGAGTATTAATTTCTTAAAAACAAAAAGTAATTTAAATACAAGATAAGTGCAAATAAGACATAAACAAGATCAGTTTAACACTGTTGTTTATTACCCATACTTTCAATCAAAGATTGACAAACATTCAAAGACAACCAAACTTACTTATACATTTTTCTCTACCCCATACACACATTTAGTACTTTGGCCAACTGCTGAAATCAAACAAACACAAATACAAACAAGCACACTCACACACGCTACACTGCCAGCGTCAAAATCAAGTTTTACCTTTCTTTTCTCCCAATAAACAAATAAAACTAATAAAATAAATTAAAAAGGGCAACTTCCAAACGCCATGCACTAATTATACAAATTCAACAAATAAATATCAACATCTAAATTAAAATACAGAAGCTCTCCCACTTAAAAAGCGAATACAGCCGCAAAATGTGCCGTGAACACGCACTCACACGACCAATACTGATCTAGGGCTGCGACCTCATGGTGACCCTATCAGGACACAGGTGAGCGTTTCTCATGAGAACAAGAGTGGCGTTGCATTCATTAGACTGCATTGTTGTACTGTGAGGTTGTTATGAGCGTGCAGATTTGATTCTATCCTCATGTTGAAGTTATGTGACACTGTGGTTTGATAGATGACCATACGTCATGTTGCATCAGGATTATAGTCCTGCCAGCTGTTCTTAATGAAATGTGAGTCAAGGAAACGCCAGTATTTATGAAATGGTCATGGCCTTTTATAATATATCACCAGAATTTTCAAAGTGGAGACTGTTTAGCACATACCATTTCATTTTTGTTAATGAGTAGAATTAATAATTTCATCAGATTTCTTATTATAGGGACTGTTACATTTACACTTTTAAGAATTTTAAGGGTTCTGCTATTTGTCATTTCCTTTCAAATCTGTATGACTTTCAAAAAAGCAATAGTTCACTCAAAAATGAAAACTTGCTGTTCATTTACTCACCTTCAGGCCAGATGTAGGTGACTTTTTTGTTCAGTAGAACAGTAAAGAAGATTTTTATCTGAAACCGTGGTCCTTGGTGATTCGTAAGGTGCAGGTCAACGGCTACTATCACTTTGAGAGTAAAAAAGCATATACAGATAACACAAAATTAATACCTGTGGCTCCTGGCGATATATTGAGGTCTTATGAACCGAAACAATCCGTCTGTGCAATAAATTAAACATTATCCAGACTCTTGTGATCATGCTCACTGTTTGGCTAAGGCTATGGATTATAGATAATGTGGTAAATAATGTTCAGTTTCTTGCACAGACCAACTGTTTCACTTCATAAGACCTTAATATATAGTCAGGAGCTGCAAGTATTAATTCTGTATTGCCTGTATATGCTTTTTTTGACTCTTAAAGTGACAGTAGCCATTGACTTGCATGTCATGAATCACCAAGGACCATAGTTTCAGCTAAAAAAATCTTCTTGCCTGTTTTACTGAAGAAGAAAAAAAGTCACCTACATCTTGAATGACCTCAGGCTGAGAAATTAACAGCAAATTTTCCCTCTTGGGTGAACTATCCCTTAAAAACTAAGTTTTCATTATACGTTTGAACATACTTCATAACATCTACTTTTGTGTTCCACAGAATTTTGAGAGTTAAACATGTTTGGGACGACATGAGGATGAGTAAATAATGACATAACGTTTCCTCTGTTTTAATAATGACATGTTCCAGACTGATTTCTGACATTACTAATAATGCTGTAACTCGTAAAGCATCTATAAGCATTATGGTCCACAAAGGATCTTCTGCATTATTATGTTATGTTTGTTGTTAGAAAGCCGATCTTGAAGTTAGGTTCTTCTAATTTAGGTCAATTTGGTGAACAAACGAGTTTCTATAAAGTAGGCAATTAGGCAAACACAGGTTATGTACGTAGTTCACCTGGTGAGATCAGCTGAAGCCTTACACTAAAGTGAGCCTGGTTCAGTTTCAGTTAAGTGAGTCTTGGCAGCTGAACTCTGAGTCAGAATTGGGGTCCGGGAGGGCATGGTTATCCTGGAGATCGGGTTCAAGATCGGGATCATTCTCGTCATTGCTTTCTGCGCTGTAGTCGACTTCCTCCAGGAACGCTGGCTCATCCTCTTCCAACACGTATGTGGTGGGACTGCAGGAAACACACACACACACACACACACACACACACACGGCTGTCAGGTATTACATGTCAGCTAAGCATATGAGAAGTGAGATCAAATTTTCTGATAGAAACACATATAACAGAACACTTTATTCCCACAAGTCAAAAACAGCCTACCTCATTTCTATTAACACCACTTTAATAGATTTTTAAGAGATTTTTATCTGTTCTGCAAGTGATGTTTAGAAGGCTTTTGCCCCTCAATGCCTTGATGTTGGGTGTTACTGTTATTAAGGCGTTCTGGGTAATTGCTAGGTGCATGGTTTCCAGTCGCATTGTTCTCACACCACTTGACTAACGAACTTCCATCTGCACTAACAGAGCAATCACACCAGCATTAGTTGTAAATGAACCAAACCTGCCAAGTGTAAACATGCCCTAAGTAGAGGTTGACCGACATGGGTTTTTCACTGGCCGATGCCGATATTTAGAAATCAGGGCAGCCGATGGCCGATATATGATGCCGATTTTTTGCGCCGATATGTTTGGCCGATTTTCTTTTTTTCCCCCATTCATCTCATAAAAGTGAGTTTGGGCAAATGATTATTGCAGGGTACAAGATAGTAATAGTAGTAGTAGCCCAATTTAGAGTAATAATACATGGCTCAAAACTTAAGTACCTTCTCAAAACAGTTCTGAAGCATGCTTTTTGTTTATGTTTGCTGACAGATACCAGTGTTTCCCACAGACTGCAAATTAATTCTCTGCCAGCAGGAGGCGCTGTTGGAGCGGGAAATATAGCGGTTTCCCCGGTAACGGCTGTAATCAAATAAGCACTGCGCTCACAAACTCTACTTTATCAGGCATTACAGGAAAGACGAAATGAGAATGACATCGAAGCTTTTCTGAAGACAGTCGGTTCTTTTCAAAGATACATTCATATAAAAACACCCGCGCTGCATTTTAATTTTCAAACGTGAAGCGCTCATTTTATTCAATGAAGTATAAGCCTTTTGGAAAATCTATTTTGTGGCGGTCAGTTTTGATATTGTGACGAGCCGCCACAAATAACTCAATGTATAGGAAACACTGGACACTGCTATAAGTCAAATGGCCATAGTGATAACAAAAATAAAAGATTTCATACATATTGCACTGCTGCTCATAACTGCTTAAGAGTGTGCTGGCCACGAGAGATGACATAATGGAGGCTATTGTCGGACCCACACACACATTTCATGAGGAAAGTTAATGTGCACGTTATAATCAGCCCAGAAGTTTTGTCTGAATTGAACGTGTTTCTACTTTCACATGCAAATGACTTATTGCACTTATGAATATGATAACTTTCCAGTATCAATTCTAGTAGGGTAAAACGTAATTCCGCTTTTGAAACAGTCTGTTTTGCCCTGCCATTAGCTGAGGCTATGTGTGAACAAGCCGCGGCTGCAGAGTGAGCTGCTACGTCTCACGCAGCCTCAGAGGGAGTTCCGCAACAACGCTTAGCTGCCCGCAGGTGCGCCTGCCTATAAATCGGCCTAATTTGCAGCACAATCGGCCGATGCCGATTAATTTTTAAAAATGCCAAAAATCGGCCGATTAATCGGCCGGCTGATCAATCGGACAATCTCTAGCCCTAAGCTTTGCTTGGATGAGAAGATGTTAAAAGTGAAATTGGCAGTGTGAATCAGTGCATGGCATCAGCATTAGCATAGCATTTTAGACTTTTTTTGTGGTGTTTTTGACTTTATTGTAATAGGACATATTGCGATATAAACAGATATAAACAGGAAGCAAAATGGTGGAGAGAGGGGGATGTGATCGGGAAGGGTCCTCGAGTCGGGTTGTCCGAAGCGCAACCGCACTACATGTCGGAGAGCTGCGCATGAGAATATCGTCTCTGACACACCTTAAGATATTTATAGAAGTCACTGAGCTCAATCATGCATGAGAAACAATGTATTAATGTACTTATGGATTGTGTGTAAGCAGGGGTGTGTGATATCATGATTTTTGATCCTGGACAATCTGCTTTTAAAGATCAGTTGCAGTTCTGGTGCCTCTGTCTTAATATACTGTACAACACGACATACGTTCACACCAAATGTTAACTCAGCGGGCACTACACATATTCGCAATCACAAAAGTACATTATTTGCATGTGCCTTAAAGCCTTGCCGGTTAAACATTTCATTTGCATGCTCTTCTGACATGCGCTTTTTTTGAGCGCGTACACCTGAAGCGCGCACACACTAAAAAGCCTGTCACACAGCGCCTGATTACTGGACGAAGTTATCTTTCACGTCTGATTGCGCTAATACTGTCAAAAACACAACATATATTTACATATAAACACAATTGGTTATGTCTAAAGTGAAAGTAAACCGTTGAGAGAAGAACCGACGTACTTGAGGTAATGCCTGTATATTAGATACGTGCAGGTCTTAAAGGGGTCATATGTTGCAATTTCAAGTTTTCCTTTCTCTTTGGAGTGTTACAAGCTGTTTGTGAATAGATAAGATCCCAAAAGTTGCAAAGACTAAAGTCTCAAACCCAAAGAGATATACTTTATAAAAGTCAAGACTTGTCCACGCCCTCCTAAAACGGCTCGTTCTAACACGCCCCCACATGTCTACATCACGATGTGGGAAGATTTGTATAACACCGCCCAAATGTTCACGCAAAGAAAGAAGACGTAACTTTGATTCTCGCTGTAGTATTGTTGCTACCGCCATGTCGTGAAGACGCTGTGTGTTTCGTTGTGAAAGCGAAACTACTTTGTTTGGTCTTCCAAAAGAGGACACAACTAGAAATCAGTGGTTAAGCTATATTTACAGCACTGTTCCAGAACAGTTCAACCCAAATATTCAGATGTGTGCAGCGCATTTTACGGAGGATGAGGACTGCTTCCTGGGAGAGTAGCCTACAATGCCGGCTGTTCTGACTCACAGCCTGGAAGTACGTTTTCATATTTAAAGGATTTGCCACTGACGATTCAAACGCGAGTTTTGAGCAGTGTAGAGTAGCGCTTGTTGTTTGTCGTTTCTCCAGTTACAAATGCAGACATCTTTTTATGTTTACGCGGCGCGATGCAATGCAATGCGTAAAAAGACAGTATAAGTCATTATAATCAGTAATTATGTCCCCACTGGATGCAACAAATGCCTCGTTTATAATGGGTTTTAATGTTTTTGTCTCGTCGTGCTGGGACACGGCATCACAGTATGGTAGGGGTGCAACATTTCCGTCACACGCATGAGGTATTCGGCCAATCACAACACACTGATAGCTGGCCAATCACAGCACACCTTGCTTTTCAGACCGATGAGCTTTGTAAAAATCGATGCGTTTCAGAAAGGCGGGGCATAGAGGATAAACAATAATGTACAGTATGTGGAAAATAATGTGTTTTTTAACCTTAAACCACATAAACACATTTCATTACAACAAATACACAAAATAATGTTATTTTTTAGCAACGTCATATGACCCCTTTAAAGTGACAGCAGACTAATAGTACTAAACATGCTGCCGCTTGTCATTAAAGGGATAGTTCAGCCAAAAATGAAAATTCTGTCATGATTTATTCACTCTCATGTTGTCCCAAACCTGCATTAATTTTTTTTCTTGTGCTGAACACAAAAGAAGATATTTTGAAGAATGTGGGTAACCAAACATTTGCTGGTCCCCATTGACTTTGATAGTTGTAGGAAAAAAAATACTATGGAAGTCACTGGGGACCAGCAACTGATTGGTTACCAACATTCTTCAAAATAACTTTTATGTTCAACAGAAGAAATAAACTCTTTTAGGTTTAAAACATTTAAAACACAATTTTCATTTTTGGCTGAACCATCCCTTTAATGTTAATAAAACAACAAAACACAAAGAAAAAAATCACTCACTGCTCTTGACTGAAGAACTTTAATACAGTTGCTTTAAGAATCAATGTATAATTTCTACAGTGAATTGTATAAAGTGTTTAATTTTATACTTGAATTTCTTGAATGCTACTGTACCTGAAAAATAAAGCACTGTTTGTTTTCACTGTCTGTGTATCTTGTTCTTATTTTTTAATAACAAAGATAAAGAAATAAAGATTTTTATCTTCATCCACTTTGGCCTCAAGGTCTGCCATTCTTTTTTATTTTATATTGTGTTACCTGATAAGGCTTTGTTTTTAAAATAGGGAAATTAGTTTAGCTGTCCTGCTCAGACAACTTGCAAAATAGTAAAAGTAAAAAAATAAAATAAAATTGTGAATCGTGATTTTCCTTGATATATTTTTGCCATATCGCCCACCCCTAATATTTAGCAATGCTAAGCATAAGAAAATGCTATTTGTGTTCAAGCTAGTTTCCCAATGATAAAAGACATAATAAATTAATTCATGCATTTAGAATCATTATGTATTTTATGTTTAATTAGACGATTCTTTCCGTTATGAAGCTCAGGACTCTGTGGTGGCCAATGCATACGTGACAATGATTCCTCATTCTCACTGAACCACTATTTCATAGTTTGAGTCCAATGAATCTTGACATTGTCATCCTGGAAGATTCTTCAGATCCTAGAGTCTTCAGTTTTTCTTATTTAAATCCAAATTGCAGGCAGTGTATACAGGCTGTGTATAATGCATAAAAATGGCAAATTTACCCGATATTCACAGGTTTTCCATGACTGTTTGCTAGATTGTAAACCGAGCCCACCGCTAAGTCTCTATGATATTCTTTCCTCTAGAAATAACTCAGGACCCCCATTCAATGCAAGTCTATGGGATTTCCCACCTCTCATCATTCATGCCTGTAGCACAAACGCTGAGGGACGAGTTACGAGCCACAGTTTGATACTTTAGGTTAAAGGTTTGTTCAAATCTCTAACCCGAATTTTGAGCTATAATAAATGACTGGTCAATACAACAAAACCGACAAACGACTCCTGCAGGTTAGTGGTTGTAAATCTCATGTGGCGGCAGAGGAGGCATTTCTCTGCATGCCTCTCTCTCCTAACGCAATAACCTTACTAAGAGTGATGATGGTTTTATGGCTCTCTTGTTAAGCAGTTAAATGGGTTAATGTGTGGTCTGGTGGTTTGGCTGGTTTTAGTGGGTTTTTAAAGGTTTTAATGGTGTGAGGGGAAGAAACTGGATCCGAGCGAGACGGGCCGAGGGGAGGGGGGGCAGACTCAAAGTGGATTAGCGGGCGTTTTGATCAGGTGATTAGATGACTATAATGAGCAGAGTGCTTCTCTCTTCACTCAAGTGCGCTGAGCCCCATGTGACCGACATCTCCTCAAGTGGTGCCGGCCATTAGAAGAGGCCTGCAAGATTGTGTGTGTGTGTTGTTATCCATTACAGAAATACACAAGCCGGGAGGGGCCGAAGTACATTCCCAAGAAGCTTCTAGACTCTCTGACATCATGGACATCATGGCTATTATTGCTCTGGACATTGCAGGCTCCGAGCTGCTTAATGTTGTATTGAGATTCGATATGGCAGCTGTTGCGTCCTTGGCGGTTTGTGCTGGTTCATGCGGCAGCCGGATAACAGGAGGACGTCCTGAGCTGGATACAGTCACTGTACTGGTGCGTGAGCGTTTACCTGGTGATGTTGGGGATGCTGCGGGTGTCTATCAGGTCGTTCTCCGTGTCCAGCAGATGGGAGTTGTGGTTGTGGAGCTCTAAGGGGGACGTGAAGCGTCTTAGCCTGAGCAGAGCCAAACAAAACTGAGCACCCATTTCCTCCAGCTCACTTGTACCAATCTGGAGCCCCTGCAAACACACATACACCTGTTACAAGCACTATTTTTGAAGGATTTGTTAGCAAAATGACATCTGAGTTACATTTAAACAGAGGACGTCTGTGAATTCAGACAGCATTGGGGTCTCTGAGTGTATATTGTCTGGATGCGAGACATGATGAATTATATAAATCAAATAGAATGCATTTACAATAATATCTTTAAATTCAATGTATATGCCAGGTTCAATGCATGTATTCTGCATGACCATATTTTAGATCCCGTAATCCTACAACATTCCTCAACTTAACAACTACCTTACAAATTAGTATTAAGAGTTTATTGAGGCAAAAGTCACAGTTAATAGTAAACTAACTATAGTAAACTAATTATAACTATAGGTTAATTTTATACACTTTTTCGAAATTTAGATTTATCCATCACCTGAAAGTTGAATAAATAAGCTTTCCATTGATGTATGGTTTGTTAGGATCGGACAACATTTGGCCGAGATACAACTATTTGAAAATCTGGAATCTGAGGGTGCAAAAAAATCAAAATATTGAGAAAATCATCTTTAAAGTTGTCCAAATGAAGTTCTTAGCAATGCATACTACTAATCAAAAATTAAGTTTTAATATATTTACAGTAGGAAATTTACAAAATATCTTCATGGAACATGATCTTTACTTAATATCATGATTTTTGGCATAAAAGAAAAATAAATTTTGACCCATACAATGTATTTTTGGATATTGCTACAAACATACCCCAGCGACTTAAGACTGCTTTTGTGCTCCAGGGACACAAATATAGATTTTTTTTGGTAACTGGGGTTATCATACACAAAACTAAAACTTACATTATTGCTATAAATAATTAAAACAACTCAAAAGACTAAAGAGAAACTAAAAACATTACTTAACCAAAAATAAACAGCCAAAATAAATAATCATTTCTGTAGGCAAGAAGCTATGTTCACATATTGGACTAAACTGATCAGTCTGTGAAACTAAATAAAACAGCCTGTGCACTACTCGGCTGATCTCTGATGCATATTGCACACCAAACTGAAAAGTGCGTTCTCAATCTAGCAGAATCGATGATTGGCAGGCTGTACACAACTTCCTCAAGCAAGGGCACACAGGTGGTTTTTATCAGTCTCCTTGCAAGCAAAGTCGTGTTTACAACGCACTGGGTCGATTCACTGAAAGCACTAATCACTGGATTTGCCAAAGTTTGTTATTAATGAAATGAAACCTTTGAAAGTTTCTTAAGAGTTTTGCTTGAGGTGCTTAGTAGCAAGTAAACTAGACACCCACAAGCTGATGTGTTTTCTGTCTGTGTAAACAGTACTTACTGTATTGCTATTGTGCTGATCACATTTTCTGCTGCTTTCCGCACAGCTATTATAATTATTATTACTACTATTATTATTTTAACCTGCTGCTAAATGACATGAAAAAACAAATGAACTGTAAATGACTGCTTGACATCAGTCAGATGGTCTCTTCCAATCTTAGGATTAGACTTTGTCATTTAGTTTTTGTTAAAAAATTACACTTAAATTAAAAAGAATTTAAATGTTTAAAAGGGGAAGAAAGTACAAACGAACATGTACAATTTTAGCACCAACTTATACAAAATGTAACAGACTGTAGATAATGACATAGACAGAAAAAGTTATGAGCGGTTTCAGATTCAAACATGTAGTGGCCACATGAGGTTTGCGCACACTATTATAGAACTATAGAGTACAGTGTTTTTATTATTATAGTTTTTTTATGAGACAATGCATTAGCATAGCACTAATCTAGTTATATTCACATACTGGGCAGAAATAAGCTTCCTTGAACTCACAGAGACGCCATTATATGTGTACAGGAGACTGTGAGTCAGTATTACAGACCTGAGCCGACTGCATCCTTCACACATGGACTATAGTGCCATCTACTGTTCACATTCATTAGGAAAACCTGTCCTTTTAGATTCACTATTTCAACATTTAGTTAGTTAGAGAAACAAGCAGTGGTCATCACTTTTGATAATATTAATGCGTCAGTAAACTGGAAAACATCTGTTCAGCTCTTGCGAGTTTCTGTTGGTGTTTTTTCTTTAGGTTACTGATTTGCTCAATGTGTGGCAATGTGATGCAAAATATCAAACGCGCAGCTACATTGAATGACATTGTCATGTAACCTTACAAAATGCCAATGCTTGCTTTAAAAAAATATTTCAAAGGCTTAATTAAACAACTTATGCCATACACTAAAATTGGTCCGTGCACTTTTGCATCCATTCCTTTTTCCTTTTGTAACCATGATACAAAACCATACCAAATCATAACCAAACAAACAAAAACAAAACAGTTGTTGTATTTTTAAGTGTTACACTGAATTCCAAAACTGAATTTAGAACTGTACCCACAATTATTTTTGTGCACTGCGCACAAAATAAACGTTTGTCTCAGACTTTTCACACTTTTATTAAAAATGTAACAATATACAGATTAATAAAAAAAATATTTTTGCTAGTTTTCTTTGGCCAAATATGATATAATGTTTATCTTGCAATCTGGAATCAGATTCATGACTCTGGAACCAGAGAGGGAACTTTATTTTAACACGATCATCTCATCCTGGTCACAGGGTGCTTATTTATTCATCAGTGTTTGAACTATTAAAGAAGAACTACATCTTCCGTTCCGTTTTGGTCACTATATAATTCCATTTGTGTTATTTCAGAGTTTCGACGACTTCACAGTTATTCTAAAGTGTAGAAATAAGACATAAAACATAAGGGTGGTCAAACTTTTTCCATAATTTCTCTGGTATTAGGGACGCCGAGATGATTTTGGACAGGCTATGTGAGTAGCCGAATAATAAAACGTGCCGCAGACGGCTCCGGGGGGTGAATAAAGGCCCCCTGTAGCGAATCCATGTGTTTTTAAAGAAAAATATCCATATTTCAAACGTAATAAAACACTTTTCTCTCACTTCCGCTGACTGTCATCCACTGAAGCAGTTCCGGCGGATGACGTAAGACGTCGGCGTTGCGTGATTAGTGACGAATGCGGAGAGAGAACAAAACAAAACGCCGGTCACGAATTAGAAGTACAAACCGAGGATTTGTAAAGAAAAATGTCAGAGGATTTCGATATGAGCCAAGAGGAGACTGGTTTTCTTTTGCTAAAGTAAGGAAACTTTGCTTCCTTTGTTCCTATACACAAACTCGCGAGACTAGCATATCTCAGAGGTGCGCGCGCTGCGCATACATGCTGCATCATCCGCCGGAACGGCTTCAGTGTATGACAGATACCGGAAGTGAGAGAAAAGTGTTTATTACGTTTGAAATATGGATATTTTTCTTTAACAAAACACATGGATTCGCTACAGGAGGCCTTTATTCATCCCCCAGGAGCCGTCTGCGGCACGTTTTATTATGGATGCGCAGCTTTATTTGACGACTTGTGGACTGTTCAACTGCAACACCTGCTGACTGCACTGATAGAGCTTGGAATAGCCAGGATATATATTTTTATATAACTCTGACTGGATTCGTCTGAAAGAAGAAAGTCATATACACCTAGGATGCTTCGAGGGTGAGTAAAACACAAGCTAATTTTCATTTTTGGGTGAACTAACCCTTTAACACTAAATCAATAAAATTAAATGCAAGTCATATAAAAGACTTGCACTGCCCTGAATGGGAAAGTGATATTCAATAAACTGACCTGAAACTCTCTGACACTGACTCTGGGCCTTCATTGAACCCTGGATTATGCTCATTAAAAATACTTTCTCATGGCACGCATAACGTCAGATCCCTGTCTGTTAATGCCGACTGTTTCCTGCCCCTGCTCTGAACATGAAGAAATTGGATAACAAGAACCAAATGATGATTTATATGCTGTGTGTGCTTTTGTTCTTTATCTGCAGTTGTCTTAGTAACCTCCTCGGTAAACTATTTTGAGTGGAAGCAGAAACACGCTGTTTTTCGGGCCTGTTTCTTTAAATGCAAATGAGCTGCTGCTCCCCGCCCCCTTTTCCAGAATAGAGCTGCGCTATTACAGCTCAGACCTGCTAAAAACATCTGTTTTGGTTCTGATTATCATGTTTATCGCGCTGAAATCATGCGTTTTAAACCATATGAGTTTAAACATCTGAAATACGGTTTTCTGAGAGCACACATCCGAAGCACACGCACAGAAAGCGGCTGTCACAGCATGTGAGCACTAAACTAAGTTCTCATTCTCACACAAGTTTACGTTAAAAACACACTAGTTACAAAAACAGTCGGTTATGTCTGTGAAGGTAACAGCTGGGAAATAAATCGCTTGTTTATTTTAACAAAAAAGTCAAGTCACCATTATTTCAATAGCGCTTTAAACATATCAAATTGTCCCAAAGCAGCTTCACAAAAACAAACAGGAAAAAAGCAGAATCATTTATGAAAACTCAACTATGGAGACAATAGCTCTAAAAAGACAATAGTGTCATTATTTAGCTCAAGTCAGGTCAGTGTTGGTTCAATTCAGTCAGGGCTGCATGATAAATCATATTTCAATCGTGATCACGATTTCTGATTCTCTCGATTTATTGAACATAATCATCTGCGATATTTGCCTTATATTTGCGATATTTGGTTATTTGCCGTTATCTTGCATTAGTAACAAGCCTCCACAAGCTTTCATGGTTGCAGATGCCAGATGTTAAGAGTTTAAAATCCCCCAATCAGATCTTTTTTTCATAAATCAATATATTTTCCACCCAGTGGTTTACTTAATCTTCCCCAACCTGGCAACCTTGCACACTAGCTCTCTCTACATTACAGAAAAATGCACTGATGAGCTGAAAACACCAGCAAACATGAACGTTGGAGTTTAGTCATTACTATTGAGATATTCTGCTCAAATAAAAGTGAAATACAGCCAGTCTGTTTTCTTTTACACGGTCATTTGGACTGTTTGCTGCTACTAAACCTGCGAGCAGGTATAAAGGTATCATGAATTTATTACATTCTAAAACAACTGAAAAAAATCATCAAATATCTTCATTTGGGTTTTGTGTTACACAAGCATTTCCATTCACAAATTTCCATTTTTTTTGGTAACCAGTTCCTTTAATATGTAAACTTATATGGGCATGATGTGTAGACGAGCCATTTTTGAAGGTTCGCTTTCATAAATCATCTGGATGGACTGAGAACGATTTTGTATATTGTAAATGTAAGAATACATCTACATAATACAGAATTGGTTAGCATATAAAAGCATGTTACCCTGTATCCAAGGTCCTCGTGTAGCTCACAGGTGCTGGTGTTGACATTGGTCTGCCACACCGTCTCCTTAATACTACAGCCATACATGAAAACGTTTTTCTTCCGTGAATGGCCGTGATAGTCGCAGAACACCTAAACACACACAGTTAAGAGACTAACGCACTGCTGGTGTCATTAAACCATTCTCTCATATCCAGCGTGATGCTCTCTCACCAGAGGAGTTCTTCCTGTAGCTCTGAGGTACTGCAGGAGACTCTTGGCGTGGTAGATGGTGGGGTGCAGCTCGGCATTGGGGCTCTGCCACTGTCTGTTCAGATCCTCCCCACTCAGAGAACAACGATGACTGCAGAGTGAAAACAAAGAAGATTGGAAATATGTGATTACAGATAAAGCGTGTGAAGAATGCTTGATGAATCAAATTTGTTACACACAAACGTTTAAGGCTACAACGTGGCCATAACATTGTTTTCAGAAGTTGCATCTGAAGTGGCATTTAATTAAAATTAGTTAATTTTAACAAGCCATTTTTTCCCCATAAATAATTGCATCTTAAATTGACAATCTTAGACATTATATAGTGATAAAATATTAAACCCATTATTTGGAAGTGATGAATGTAACTTTTTAAGTGGGAGAACTTGCACAATTGGTGGCTGACTAAATACTTTTTTTCCCCACTGTACTTTAATCAGTATCATCAACACTACCAAAAACTTCCATTGCAGAACCAAAACAGAACGTGGAGGTGATTTTTTTGTTGACATACTTTCCATTGATGACGCCATCAGGGTTGAGCATGGGGATGATTTTGAAGATGTAGCTCTCTCGTAGACTTTGGGCTTGAGGACTGCAGCTCATGAGAAACTCTAGAGTGCCCTTCATCACCCAGCTAGAGTTAGTCTCTCCAGGATGCACCCGCGCAGACAGAAACACCACTGGACGGATTTCTACAAACATCCACATTACAGTATAGCTAAGTGTGCCACACCTATTCACAGAGGCTGAAATGACAATCTCATTATTGACAGTTTGCATAAAACAATGGATGGGAGAGTGCCTGAGTGAGCGCATGCAAGAATCCATAGGAGAGTGCCTCAGTGAGAGCATGCACAGGTGCATGCAAGAATGCATGGGAGAGTGCTTGAATGAGCGAATGCGTAGGTGCATGCAAGAACGCATGGGAGAGTACTTGAATGAGCGCATGCACGAATGCATGGGAGAGTGCTTGAATGAGCGCATGCGCAGGTGCATGCAAGAACGCATGGGAGAGTGCTTGAATGAGCGTATGCGCAGGTGCATGCAAGAACACATGGGAGAGTGCTTGAATGAGCGTATGCGCAGGTGCATGCAAGAACACATGGGAGAGTGCTTGAATGAGCGTATGCGCAGGTGCATGCAAGAACACATGGGAGAGTGCTTGAATGAGCGTATGCGCAGGTGCATGCAAGAATGCATGGGAGAGTTGTTGAATAAGTCTATGCGCAGGTGCATGCAAGAACGCATGGGAGAGTGTCTACCTGAGCGCAGGCACAGATGCATGCATGAATGTATGAGAGAGGGCATGAGAAAATGTGTGTGAATGCATTCATGGTAGAGTGTACACTAGAATACATGTTTGAGTGTATGAGAGGCTGAAATGACAAT